TTTTTGGTACCTCTTGTCAAAAGCATTTTGATATCTCTTGCGTTAAATAGAGAGGTAAAAAATATAAAATAAAATACAATCCACAGTCAAATCCCAGGAAAGGTTCACTTTAGGATGTAAACCTGTGGGTGAAAATTTGAGGCAACTTTTCAAAGTAGTCTTTCACTGCACTCTCACATGCTGCAAAATGTTTTTCAGCTTTGTAGTGCTTAATAATTCATGTTTGATATTAAATTCAATATTAAGTGGCTGGATTTTGTTTTGGATAGGCCACAAAAAATGTATGAGCTGATAGCTGAGATTTTAAAACACTTGAGGTGAGCAAGGCCAGTAAAATATGTGGTATGATTTCATGAGGTTGGTTGACATTATGCCTCCGGTTTTCAATGGGTGCCCCATTGTGTTAGTAGCTAACCTGCCCCTGAATAACCCGTTACAGAGTTTCTGAGGTGTGCGCGGCTGTGTGACTTTGTCAAATACACATTGCTTCTCTTTCGTATCATGAACCAGAAACATCTTAAAATATGAATCTGTGGCTTCAGTTTATAACCAGTGCTGAGATCTACTATACTAGGAAAGGGGCATTTGATAATTTTCAGACATTTCTCCAAAATTTGGTCCTGTTCTCAAAACCAGATACTTCTTCCAGTTTTCAAATGATGCAGAAGTCTCCAGAGGAGTCTAAATTAGGATCTTCAGGGAGAAGAACAAATAGCAAGGCAGAATTTCAGGTCATGCAATTTAAGAAGAATGTACTGCAGCTATAATGTTCCCACAGTATACAGGCTGAGAGGTGCAGAGCTCGAAGACAAGCATACCGTGTGTACTCCTGTTTTCCTCTGAGTACTTTCTTTTATTTTTAGGCCTGTCTGTCACTGCCAAAGCAAATGTTGTGCCCCAACGAAGGGGCAGCTTACTAAGACAGGTTACAGAACTGTCTGTTTAGCACTCCTGCATCACAGAGCAATGGTATCTCAGATTAGCACTGCAGATATAGGTTTTCCTCAGACTCTGTGGTAGTGCTTCTACTTTATTTCTTCTGCTGTAGGAAATACTTGGAATAATGCATGTACTTGAGGTAGTTAACTCAAATATATCTGTGAAGTACCTTGTAGAGGCAAGGGTACTTACTCAGTGTCATCTGAACCAGAACATGGGCTACCTTATGAACTGCCTCAGTGAGACTTGAAGTGGTGCAAACATCTCTGAACACATTGTACAGGTAGGTACACTGAACCATTATTTCTTGAAATAGGCTGATTGGAACACAGTGTCATCCCTTTTTTGCGGGATTTAAAGAAGGATAATGCAAATAAGCATCTTCTGTTCCTTTTTATTTGTCATGGTTCAACTCAATCTCAGGGCACCAGCTGTGGTTTAGGTCCAGCTGGCAACTGAGCACCACACAGCCAATTGCTCACTCCTTTCCCTGATGGGATGGGGAGGAAAAAATATAAGGAAAATCTCCTGGGTTGAGACAAGGACAGGGAGGAATCACTCACCAATTGCCTTCATGAGCAAAACAGGCTTGACTTGGGGAAAAAATCTATTTAATTTGTTACTAATCAAACCAGAGTAGGACAATGAGAAATAAAACCAAATCTTAAAAACACTTTCCCCACACCCCTCCCAGCTTCCCAGGCTCAGCTTTGCTCCAGCCTGGGTCCCCTATGGGGTCACAAGTCCTGCCAGCAAACCTGCTCCAGCCTGGGCTCCTCCCTCATGGGGCTAAAGGTGCTGCCAGGAGCCTGCTCCAGCATGGGCTTCCTGCAGAGTCGCGGGCTCTTTGGGCACAGCCACCTGCTCCAGCGTGGGTCCCTTGCTGGGCTGCCGGGGGTCTCTGCTCCCCCGTGACCCTCCATGGCTGCAGAGGCACAGCCTGCCCTCTCACCACAGGCTGCAGGGGAACCTCTGCTCCAGCCACCTCCTCCCCACCTTTCTGCACTGATCTGGATGTCTGCCTGATTGTCTCTCTCACATCCCACTCCTCTCCCTTCTGCAGGGTTGAGTTTTTTTCCCCTCTTAAACATGTTATCTCAGAGATGCTACCACTGCTGCTGACTGACTCAGCCTTGGCCAAAGGTGGGTCCGACTTGGAGCCAGGGAAGCTTCTAGCAGCTTCTCACAAGATCCACTTTTTTAGCCCCTTCTGGGCTACCAAAACCCCACCACACAAACCTGATAGAGCAGCAAAGCCTTTGTCTTGAAGAGTAAATTCATTCTTAGGTGGTTTTAATTTCAACCAGCTCTTTTGTGTTCATCTATAAATGCCAGCTAAGCTAGATTACAGCAGTAGGGCTGCACTGTAATTTTGAATGATTAGCCCCACAGGAACTGAGCTTGACCATCGAGGCAGAGAAGATGGGGAATGTAATCTGAGCAGAAATGGAATGAGTATGAAATCAGTGAAGTCTTTGTAGAAAATTAGTTGATTTTTAACTCCTTTACTAAAGAAAAATGCTCTAAGGGTGTTTCCTCAGACCTGTGCCACAGATGAGCCTAATGACTTACTGTCTTGCAGATTAGAATGTGTAGTCTTTCACTTGAAAAGTTGCTGATTCGGGAACATCATGTACAACTTTACTCTATTTGCTAATTGATATTTAATGATGGAGTTAGCTGCCTAAACAAGTATTAGGTTCACCAGAAATATCCAAGATCTGCTAGAGTAGATAATTATTTCTAGAGAAATAGAATGAAAGCTTATTTCAGATGGTAGCTAGGGCAAATCAGTATTCCACGTATAATGCATAGAATAGTTATGATGTTGGAGTAAAGGAACGGCTTTTCTCTTGTATAGTAACAAACAGGTTTAAGCAAATTTTCATCCATTACGTTTGTACTCCTTTTGTGTTCCGTTTCCAGAAATATTTGAACAAATCAAGCTTTTCTGGTAAAATTTCACTAAAAGCAGACTTCAAAGCTTCCTGTATAAAGAGTAGATAATGAAACTGTACTAATTTTGTAATGCTGGAGAGACTTGTGTCCTCATCCATTCAGAAAATAGAAACACTGCTGTATGACTTAGGTGACTGACCATAATGATACTGAAGAAAGCTTTTTCAAGGGCCATTTTGGCCAATGTGCCCTATTATGTAGCATGACTTTGAAGTACCTTGGGCCATCCATGTAAAAGAGTTGGGTGGTTATAGACTGATTTAGCGGTATTAGGTTTTAAATGAGGAAGTAATGTCCCATGGACTTGGGGACTGCAATGAAGCTTAGCAAAGTAGCCCCATGAGTAAAATAATATGAAATTGCTTCAGAGACCTAAGACTGGAAGAGTTGAGAGATTTACCTTCCTAGGTCTCCATTCACTGTCCATTTGCATTAAGTGAATCATTTAACTATGTGTTTAACTTTATACAGGTGCCTAAATCCCATAAGAGGTAGAGCACTTAAAGCAGAACACACACTTAACTGCTTTGCTGAGCCACAGCCTTATTTCTTACCTACTTTCCATATTTTTTGTTTTTGTGGAAAGAGGACTTGTATTGGATATGAACCAAAACACAGCTTTAACCCTTCTGCCAGCTACTTTCAGACATATTCATGCTTCCCATGCCCAAATCTGCTGATCAGTATGGTGGAAAAATATGTCTCTGAACTCCTGTCTGGATTAAAAAGGATGTTATTTTAAAAAGTGCAGCTAATGTGATGTGGTGAACGTGATCTAGCTGATACATTTACGAGGCTAATAAAAGCAGGATGGCATATACTTTAACATGAGTTAAGCTGGTCAAGTTAAAAACTATAGAGTTTTGGAACACATTAGTGGGAAGCACGAGCTGATAATGTCTAGTGCACCTTCAAATTTCAGATGAGAGAAAACCGGAATTATTCCAGAATAGCTGGCTCTAACAAGCTGCATGAATTTGAAACTTTCAGGATATGAACCAGTATAATAGTTGCTTGGTTGTGTTTTGCTATAACAGTAAGTAGGTGCTGTCAAATGATAAGTGGCAGTTTCTTTTGTGACTCACTTTTCCTGACTTGCCAGCTGGCTTATATGCTTTCCCTCAGTTGGGTGGAAATGTTTTTCACTGACTGAATTGTCAGTGCTTCAAGATTTTCAGATCTGACGAGGGAGATCTTTGCAACTCATAATTTTACTAATGGGTTGTGTTAATGTACCAATTTTTAAATTCATGGGAGAAATTTATGTCACTCTTGTAGCATTTGTAAAATGATGACTTTGTTAAATGGATGTGCAATTAACCAGCTAAAAAATAATTGTTAGAAAGACTCTTTTGGACAGAGTATGTCACAAAACTCTCGGCTCATTTATCACCAGCTGCATCCATTAATTCAGCACTGCTTGGCACTGTCTAACAGGGGCTTCTGAAACACCACATTTTAAATTTAATAAAATACAAAGAGCTTTAGAGCAGGAATAGGCTGGTTTAAAATACTTAACTGTTTTTCATAAACCCAGGTTACTTTTTTTTTGTTTCTCTTCTCTGCTGCTTTAGATTTCCTGCTATTGAATATGACTATACATAAGGAGAATTACTCAGCTGTAAATTGTAGAGAGCTTACAGATTGCTATTGGTGATATGGTCTGAGCACTAGGAATGTCAAGATGTTACAGCTCTCTTCTTCTCTCAGACAATTTTGGTAAAAAAAAATTGAATCCTGTCAGTCCAGTCATTTGTCTCAAAGAATCATTGCTACAGCTTTGGTGTACCATTTTCCAAAGAGCATAAATTTGGCCAAGTTGCTTGCTACCTTTCAAGTCAGTGCTAAATATTAAGCAGATGGATTTCAGTCATGGTAGCTTACAACCTATTTGCAATGATCATTAGATAAGGACTGGCATTCAAACCTCATTTGCTCCACATGATACATGTAACGTATATGCACAATAGAATTAATATTTCATTTGTTAATAAGAAAAGTGAAAAGAGAAAGGGAAAAGCAAAATCTTTGTTAGCAGAATATGTCACTTGTTCAAGTTCTGAGAAGTGTTGTGTTCTTTTTTCTTTCTTCCCTTTCTCCAGTTTATCGTGGTTTCTGGACAGTTCTCATGCTCCTGGGAGTGCTCACTATTGTGATGGCTAGTTTCTTCATCATCTGTGCAGCTCCTTTTGCCAGCCACATTCTGTACAAAGCAGGAGGAGGCTTTTACATCATTGCTGGTGGGTATACTGTTTGCTCGGTCAGTTAAAGAATAGAAAGGATGAGGTATTTCTCCCATATTCTGTGACCAAAAATTGTATTAATCATGCTTAGAATAAAGAAAAAGGATATGCTTCTATCCTCTGGTTTATGGAGTGCCTGCCTTGGAGACAATTCTTTCCACAGTTATTTAGTTATGAAGTTATTCTAAAAGCTACTTTTGGATTAAGATCAAAACATCCAAGACAAATCATGGAATTACCCTGCAATTTCAATCTAAATTTTAACAAGAAAAAGAATGTATACTTAGGGATGTTGCCTTGTAGGATTCTCAAGGGCTTTAGCTAAGGAGAGAGTTTTTTTTTTTAATCAGTGATACAAAAGCAATAAAGATGATTAGGGTGGGCTGCTTCTAAAGAAGTCAGAAGACAGAGCACATTCACATGACCAATATAGGGTAACAAATAACTGAATTCCCTCCTTCCTCATAACCCACACATACTGTGGAGGATGCACCCTCCCAGGGTTCAGCCAATATGGACAGCTCTCTGGGACACTGTTCTGATAACCTCGAAAAGCTTGGGAAGGTGCTGAGCTGGTGTGTAAGATACAGAGTTGTGTAGCATGTAAATGACAGTATGTGCTCAGTCACTGTTCTTCTTTGTATAAAGACTGGGAAGCAGCAGTCCTGTGAGAGCAGCACTGTGTTACGGGGTAGAGCCCCTCGGGTCAGGACCAAAAGGCCTGGGCTCTCTTTCTGCTTCCGTTGCTGACCTGCTGGCCTTGCTTACCCACTTCACCTCGCAGCTCTGCATACACAACTAGTGATCATTATTCCCTTTTGACAGGCCTCAGTGAAGCGTGGGAAGTATTTTATAACATTTTTGCTGAAAAAACCTCCCGCATCCTTGCATTAGAGCCCTTGAGAATTACTCCTGTGCTCTTTTAGAAGACATACAAAAAATATTCATAGTCTGATGGAAATCCTAAGATATTGCAATGTTTTATGTCACTAATTCATAGGCTAAGGGCACATGTGAGTCCTGCTCTTCCATTGCATTTGTAATCTGTAAGAAATCTCAACTATCACTAGAAAGCAGCAGAGGCTGTTGGGGAGGAAATGGGCACCTGGAAGGCACCAGGAACTGATGGACAGAGGTCTGAAGTGATGTGTGTGTTCTCCACTCTGGTCCATTAATCTGCACTCATTTGGGCAGGGGAAAATTATATCCCTTAGTCTGGGCTAGTCTCCCTTGGCTTTCCTAGGAGGCAGTAGCATTCACTGACAGGACCATTCACTGACTATAGGACCATTGTAGGTGTGTAAGACCTTCCTCCAGCTGGGGATTCATGTCATCCTGAAAGAGTGGCCTATTACAGGTATGAATGTGTTATGGAGGAAGCCTATACCTGTCTTTACTGAGGGAATCTAGAGATACTACTTTTTAGCTGTGTGAAGTTAAGTGAGCTTTATTATCCCTTTGCCCCTCTCACTCTTTGTCCCTCTAGAGCAGATGCTTTTCAAGGGAAATCCTAACTTTTTAATCTCTATACACGTAGTATCTCTCAACTTCAGGACTGTTCTCAATCAAGGCTTCAGAGAAAGGCTGTGTTATTTTTACCATTGTTGTTGAAAAACAAAGCTATTTAGCAAAATCCTGTGATGATTTGCCAAAAAGAAGTAGTCGCTGCAGAGTATAGGACGCTGGAGTCCTTCAGCTTCCACAAGACATTTTGCCTTGGGTAAGGGGACACAGTTCCTGACCAAGCTCTTCTGCATCTACTCCCAGTCACACCAGTAGGGCAGGGCTAAATATCATTATCCTATCCAACAGTTCAAATCACCCACAAAAACATTAAAAAAGTTTATTGCTCTCAGCTCTTCTCACAAGTCAGTATACTCACAAAACCATGGTGAGGGGTTAATTATATAATGAATTTAAAACATGCTGGAGGGAAAGACTGTACAAGCATAAGAAGAAGTTATAAATGCTTTGTATTGTCATTAGTTAAAGCTATGGCCTCTGACATGTCTTGGACAACAACTCAAGTTTCCTGTGGTTTTACTGATCAACAGCCCATCATACTAAATGGAGCATAGGAGGGATTCTCAGGCCCAAAGGTGTGACAGCATGAAATTGCTATCTGTTTCTCTCTCAGTAGGAATTTCTCACGATAATTAATATCTTAAATCTTGGATAACTTGCAGAGCAAGACAAGGTAGAGCCTGGTGCTGAAGAGGTTTAGCCGGTCTCTAAAAGGCAGGGTGGTGTTCCCTGCTCCCCTGACCCCTTTCTCTATGCACCTCCTGCAGGACTAGGGAGCCTGTTCGTTTACCGCCTCCCAAGGGAAAACAGAGCGTGGAAGGGGAGGGTGAGGAGAAGGAGTGCATATATGGCACTCACATCAACAGGTGACCAGGGTGCAGTCAGGTGTGCATCTATTTAACACAGACCTAATGGGAGAATGAAAAGATGTGATGGGACTTATATCGTAGGTGAAATTAGTGTTCTTCTAAGACAGAATACAGCATATTGATTTAAAGAAGAAAAAAAAAAAGAACTATGAACATTGTCTTGCAAGTGCCTGGGTGATGTCTTGCAGTACTGCAAATAGCTGTTTTACTATGGAGAATAGTAGGCTTCAGAGGAAGAAGTTAAGCATGGTGGTTGTTCTATGTAAGTTTGAAAGAACAAGGTAGGAAGATCAGTTATATTTCTTACTTGCATATGTCTTTTAAAGAAAAATGCTAGGTGAACCAGTTTTAATTCCTGTTATTGGACTAAAGTATCTGATTCCCTTTGCAACCTTAACTGAAAAATTAGTTAGCAGGTAACTGCCTCAACTGAAGAGAACAGTTTTTAGCATGATCTGCTAAAAAAAGACCACTGTGTCTCATCCTTTCAGTGTGCATGTTCTGCAGAGTCTCTGCCCATCTTTTCTATAACTCTATTTAGAAAGTTGAAGTCTGTTTTCTTCTCCAGACTCAAGCTTCCCAGCTCGTATCGCCTCTCCTTGTCCTCCATTCTCCTAACTATCTTCTTGGTTGTCAGGTCAGTTTGTCAGTATCTGTCTTTCACTAGGGCGCCTCAAACTGGACACTGTATTCCAGATATGATGTCACAAGTGATATGTAAAGGGAAATAACAGTATTTTTAAACCTGCTGTGTTCTTGCTAATGCAGCTCTGTGGGAGGTTAACTTTCATTTCTGCCAGATCTGCTTGAATTCTTTCACACTGAGAGGGACCTTTCTTGTGCTTGATTGGTTGCCTATGAGAAACAACCAGTTCTTCTGGGCCCTTTTGCCCTTCAAGTCATCCTTTGTCCTTCAAAGCATCCTTTGCCTTTGAAGGCAGCTTCCCTTGGGATCCTGCCTGCCGGTTCCCTGAACAGCCTGAAGTCTGTTCTCCTGAAGCTCTGGGGTTTTAATTTCCTACTCACCTTCTATATTCCTCTTAGGATACTAAACTTTGCTATTTCATGGCCAGCATCACACAGCCAGCATCATCTGTCGTATCCCTGACCAGTTTTCCGCATTTGTGTGTAGCAGGTCTAGCAAACCACTTCCATTTGTTGATCTGTTCCACACCTGTTTCAAAAAGTTAACCTTGATGCAGTCTAACTACCTGGATTGTTTATGCTCTGCAATGTTCCCATCTAAGAGATATTGGGGTGTTTTAGTCCCTCCTGAGAAGCAGAAATAACTCTTTTTCTAGTCCACCTTGGAGATCATATTCCTTAGAACTCTGAGCATTCAAGGTACTTCTTTGTGAAGACTGCAGCAATTCCATCCCATCTTACCTGCCTGTCCTCACAGTGTGTACCCATCCAACAGTGCACTCCAGTTGAGCAAGCTGTCTCATCATGTCTGCAGCTCAGTGGTCGCAACCATCATCCAGTGACTGCATGAACTTGAACTCCTCCTGTGTTGTTCCACCATTGAGTTCATTTGTGTACAGGCATTTGAGATAGGCTTCCAGTTGTTCTGCTCCCTCCATGTAAGTGTACAAGCCTCTCTCATTGCTCTGTACATGCATATGCTCTCCATTCCCTTCCCCCTGCTTATCTGAAGGGTTTGATGTCCATGTGCCAATAGTCCGTGCTTGTATTTCTTCTCACAGGGTTACTCAGCTTGTTGCTCTTGCCCCACCTAGTCTGATGGATCTCACCTCTCCCCAGCAATGCTTGTATCTCAAGGAGGGTCCTGTGGCCACAGAAGCCAAAGCCCTGCTTGTGACACTAGATGCTAAGCTAGGAGCTGATGCACAGTGTATGCCAACTTTTGCCCAAGTCTTATCCTCTGGGCAGCATCTTTGAGACCATCATCACCTGGGACCCATGCCCTTACATCTCATCCTCAGAGCCCTATAATTACCCACTCAAGGGCTCAAGGTCTCAGCCAGCATTGCTGATGCCCCTGAGGATGAACTGCAGCAAAGGGTCTCCAGAGGCACCTCAGAAGCCTCTCCAGAGTGTTGCATATCTGGGTCCCAGAAAAGCATTAGAACTCCACAAAGAGCAATTCTGATGTCTGATCTATCGCAGAGTTACACACCTGCCTTTTCTTTATCCTCATCTTTGAGAAAGACTGCCCACTTCTCTTACTGAGATGTGAAGCTGAAGTACTACAAATGGAGAAGTACACACAATCACTAGTATTGATGGCAGCTTATTTACTGGCAGCTTTCCCTTTTAAGCTTTGTAACCACATTAGCTACCTGAGGTTGCAGGTGAAATTAGAGTTGCTACACATGTGGGGTAAAAGTGACTATCAGTTCAGCCATAGCACAGTCAGTGACTTGAGTGCTGTCTCTGTAGCCTCACCTCCCTGCCTACATCAGAGGATGAAGCAAGAGCAGCTACATTAATGCAAACTGTAAGAAGCCTCATAGTTGCTTCAGAGGTAATAGGAAAAGAAGGTAAAGCTGCCATAAAATAATAACTTAAAGCAGCCTTCAATAAAGCCCATAATTACCTTGTGCCTGTTCCTGCCTGGTTGGTGGTGAAAGCTGTCCCCTT